TGTTTGTTTCCATCCATACTGCCAGGCATCTAACACCACGGCAGACACGATGACAGGCAAAGGGCACACAGCGCAGGCCCTCAGGAAGCACAGGGCTGCAGGGTGTTTGGATGGCAGGCTCCAGACAGTATGTGACTCAAACACAGCAGGAACGAGAGAGGGGCCATAACTTGTACAACTCTTTGGCGACCCTCTCAAAGGACCACAAACTTAAAAATATACCACTTCACTCCTATATGTCAGGCGACAGAAAACCAGAAAATCATAATGTATTTTAGCTTTATTGGAGACCTATTACAGTAGACAAACAAGTAGACAAACACATGCCTTATAAAATATACATTCTCGTGTGTGAGAAAATATAAATAGATATTAGGAAAGGACCACACTGAAAAACAACTTGGCTTAGAACTCTCTTTCGATACATCTGGTATCAGGGCTACTCAGATTGACATCCTCTGATGGGAAGAAGAGGGAACAGGAGAGGGTAGAAACAGTCTCTCTATGGATCAAGAGGCCACTTTAAGTAGCCAAGAGATACACTCCAAGAGCACTTGACCACCTGATGATCAATTTCTCTTTCAAGACGGTTTAGTTGATAAAGGATCACTTTACTCTTTCTAATCTAAAAACAGGCTCAAATCAAGTTGTTTTTTCACCCTCACCCCACTCACTGGTGGAGATTATTGAGACCGCTAAGAAACACTCAACACACAACCTGAGGGGAGCAGGTCCAAATATTACTCTTCGCACACACATACACACACACCAACACATGCACACACGTGCAACACAGACACACACACACGTCCCTACCTCTTATTACCCACAACATCTTCAGATGATTCATGGGCTTGCAGGTGTTGTTTTGTAAAGAGCAGCTTGTAATATATCTCTTAATTCAGAGCTTGTTATTTTCATCAACAAACCAGGCAGTTGTCCGGAAAAGGAAAAAAAAAAATTAAGGCTAACTGATGTTGGTTGAGATGGCACTTTAAACAAAAAAGTTCTAAGTTAGAAGCAGAAGGGAAAAACATCTGCCAGACTGAACGGGGGAAGAGGACACGTCAGAGAAGAATGAGACATTCCTTGCAGGTTGCCAAAAATCTCAGCTCCACCTTGGAAGGCCCAACTACTTCACATTACCTCTGCAATCGGCATTAAGAAGCAAACTCAAAAATGGAGCACGCAGCATGAAATGACAGTAAATTTACCTCTGTTGCTCCATTACCTCCTGGTATTCCTGTGAATATTAAAATGATTGGAAAGGCTCCAACCCCCTTGGGTAAAATACTGGGTGTAAAGCCGAACACCGCAATTCCAACCCCATTCCAACTGGAGTCCTGCTGATAAGAAGAAACAGGCATAAAAAATTAGAGTAGGGGCGCCTGGGTGGCTCAGTGGGTTAAAGCCTCTGCCTTCGGTTCAGGTCATGATCCCAGGGTCTTGGGATCGAGCCCCACATTGGGCTCTCTGCTCGGCAGAGAGCCTGCTTTCCTTCCTCTCTCTCTGCCTGCCTCTCTGCCTACTTGTGATCTCTGTCAAATATATAAATAAAAATTAAAAAAAAAATTAGAGTAAAAAGGAGGGTCATAATACATTATATAGGCTCTTAAAGTTTTTATTATGGTAATGCCATTTCTGTTACTAACTAGTTATAGATTTCTTCAGAAGCATAAGCCCAGACTTTCATGTTTTTAGCCATTAACAGGAGAGTCTCCTTTTGTCAACCAAAAGCCAAAACTCTTTAACTGAAAAAAATTTAAGTGCTCTATACTTACTGTATATAAAGGATTTTGAAAGGAGAAGTTTTAAGACTGTCAGATTGCTTCTGGAAAATTCCAATGATAAAACTGAAAGAGACCTGAAAGTCATCTTGTCCATATTCCATTCTAAGTGCAGAAATTTCTTCAACGCTATTAACAGATGATTATCTGGCTTCCACTGTGACTTTTCCCACAAAACACAGATTATTCCAATTATTGGGCAAACCTAATTGTAGAGAATTAGTTTACACAGAATTACTAGCAAGTGTTTATTGTACCTCCCTGTTAACTTCTGCCCCACAGAATGGGAGCAGACATGACCTCTGTCCTCAAGAATAAAAACAGTGGGGACGCCTGGGTGGCTCAGTTGGTTAAGCAGCTGCTTTCGGCTCAGATCATGATCCCAGCGTCCTGGGATCGAGTCCCACATCAGGCTCCTTGCTTGGCAGGGAGCCTGCTTCTCCCTCTGCCTCTGCCTGCCATTCTGTCTGCCTGTGCTTGCTCTCTCTCTCTGACAAATAAATAAAAATCTTTAAAAAAAAAAAAAAAGAATAAAAACAGTGAATTTAATCCTAATTCATGGCAACACTTCAAGGTATTAAAGACATTTATCATATCTCCCATCTCTTAGGAAAATGGATATGAGTCTAAGTTGCTAGACATCTTAATGTTGCTTTTACAACCCCACAATGGGCAGTGTGAAGGCAACTATTTTTAAATAGGAAAGTTACCTTTCAGAAAAATACACATAAAACTCTCGGAGTGGCACATTAGAGGGTTCCTGATACTTCGTATCCCACAGAGTAACCTGCACAACTAGGGAGAGCAATTTAGAAGCTGCTGAATGACAGAAAGCCAATGGCTTATATAGAGACCACGTGCCAGTGCAGAGTTAAAGGAAGATGCTATTTCTTCTTCCAAGTAAGACTTGAAGAATCAGTGTAAAAGGGGCACAACTTAAGAGAACTAATATATCTCTACAGATATAAGGTGGTAACTGGATGAGGGGCAGAGAGTATTTCTCCTGGCATTTCAGTTTGCCTTGCTTAACAACAATCCTGATTAAAAGAGGCTTTAGGCAGACATCACACTACAGGGAAGGAACACTGATGAGCCACTAACCCTGTTTACGGTAGACGGATAAATCACTGCTTGGTCAAAAACATATGCAATTAACAGAAAATTTCAGGAAGCCCTTCTCCTAAGATTAGAATTTATTAAATTTATTATTTTTTTAAAACCAGTTTTGTTAAACTTCACGTTTAAACAAATTCTTGACTAGTTCCTTAGTTACTCTGGCAAGCTAGGAGCATGTGGGAAGGCGTCTCACCATTGGTGCTGACGGAAGGGAAAACCTGGCCATTCAGGAGACCAGACTCTGACAGTCCTAAGAGGAAGAGGACCACCATATTCTAAGTTTTCTACAACACTGGTTCGCACCCTGGTTTTCAGTCCTGTCACCCATAAGAGCTGATACTCACCTGCAGCCTCGCTCCAACTACCCCTTTTCACTCAAGAGAAGTCTGTCAGAATATGAGTGAGAGTATCAGATAGTTACAGGATCACCTGCATGAATGAAGACATCTGAAAGGTAAGGGAGTCACAAACTAGCTACAGATCAGCTGCAGCGCGCCTCTCAACTGATTCCATGCTCTGGCGCGGCAGCACTGGCATTCAGACCCGCTGCCCCAGAGCGCAAATGGTGGCTCCCACTGAGTCAACAGTCTTCCTTTACTGAGCCGGTTTCAAAGCAGAAGAGCTCTTCTAACAAATACATCTTATACCGTCCCTCCTGCGAAGGAGGAAGTGAATCTGGCTCAAGTCAGAGTAAGCAGCATCACTCTTGCTACACTAACAAATGTTTCATGAAAGCAGCTTTGTATTAGAGTAGCAAAATTCTCCCTGGTCCTTGAAGGGATCACAAATTCACAGAACGTTACAGCTGGAAAGGGCTTTGGAGCATCTAGGAGAATGCCCTCATTTCAGAAATGAGAAAATCAGGCTGCGAAGCAGACACCTGCCCCTAACTGCACAGCCAATAAGGGGCAGAGCTAGGAACAAAATCAGGTCTCCTGATTCTACATCAGCCCTGTACAGATTAAAGTACAACCTAGTAAGGAAGAAGAGGAATCACAAATTGAAAGGATGGGAAAACAGTGATATTTAAGAAGTTTGAAGTAAAAATGAACAGAGGCTGACAGTTCAAAAAAGGAAACAGAGAATGGCTTGGTGGTACAAAACTGTTAGAGACACTACTGACTATGGGAGAAAAAAACTAGGACTGAGAACTAGATGTAATTCAACTTTCTGGCAAAATATGAGTTTAGAACCCTTGAAATGCACAATAACTTAGAAATAGATATTTTCATTTAAGTGATGGAAGTTATCCAGCATGTAACTAGTACTCACTAGACTGAGAGGACAGAATCTGACAGCCTAGGTAAGGATATCTGAAAGCACAAAGCAAAAAAGAACTTTAGTTCATTACATTCCATTATAAAGTCCTTTGTTCACATAAAGCTTTTTGCAATCAAAAATTCAAGAGAACTTTTTGGCTTAAATAATCTTTCCTTGTATAAAACAAGGAAAACACTCTAAAGCTTTATAAGAATTTGTGCACATTCAACTTATTCCCAAAAGCACTCTTCCCTTAAGACACACTGTGTATTGGCAGAAGAGATATTAAAAAACAAACAAACAAACAAAAACAAAACAAAACAAAAAACAGAAAAGAAGCAATCTTTGGTTTCCTCATCACCTAAATACTTTGCTGAAAGAAGATATTCCCAAAAGAAATTTTCCTTTGTCTATGTGCACATGACTATGATAAGACTGACTGCTAGTCTTTTGAGTCTTTTTATGCTAGAGAAAGGTAATACTACCTGGCACTTGTATACAGACAGCAAACAATTAGACGTATGAACTTTTAGGTCTGAGTAAAGTAGCTAATTATACCAAGACTGTGTTTGTGTGTATGCAATCACTAGGTTCCCTGCCTCTATACATATACTTCTTAACAAACATATTTTTAAAACTTCAAACAAAGTCTTTAGGTTCACTAAACCAAGTCATACAAAATCTGTGGTCTGAGACGGTGCTGTCAATATTATTAACTGGATATTATATATAATTCTGGCATATCAAAAATATTTACAATGCAGCCAACACATATGGTCAATGAATACAAAAATTATTTATAAATGCACATATATTTACAATGAGATCCCTGGGTGATAGGGACCAAAAAAAAAAAAAAGATTCACAAGAATACAAAACCCTTTGATGTGGTAACAACTGGTCAAGCCTGGGATTCTTGTCAAAGACCTTGAATATCAAAGCCCTGGTCTCAACTAGATGCTTAAAACCACTGAAGAATCCCAGACACACTTCCCAGAGGGCTCCAAAGTTATTTCTGTTCCTGGAAGACACACCAGAACAGTGATGCTTTCTCAGAATCATTCTGCAGGTTGAGACAATCCAGCACGTTAAGCAGCAATGAGACTCTCCCTAACAGGCAGTGCACAGCTGGGCACATCCCCGTGGAACCATCAGCAAGCACGTTTGTCCTGTATTTTCCTCTGCCCGTGTTGCACAGGTTTTATTAGATGTACCCATTTCTGTCAGCCGTTTCCCCTTCTTCATCAGGAATAAGCCCAAAGAAATGCCTGGCGCACCTCGGTGGGGTCAGATGTAATTGCAGACAGGGTAAAGCAAATGCTGACTTTGGGGTTTCTTCTGAACTCTGAGGTAGTAATAAATACAAAATGAAGTAACTTGAGTCTCTGCCCACATCTCCTTCTGGAGTGAGTTTCATGTGCCCTCACTACCATCTTGAATGTTCCGAGTCCTACTAAAATCAAAAGCGTGGTCGTGCAACCTGTGACAAGGCGTGGGGGAGGCAGAACAGTCTGGGCCACTCTCTGCCAGACCCTCATTTTGATGGACTTGTGGTGGCTCAAGGACTGGCTGCTGCGAAAAGGGAGGATGAGGCAGGCCTAGCTCTTTGCTTATGTTCCACAGAGGCCGCGGCAACGTTTCTGAAAACGAAAGACAATAATCAGTGGCGAATGGAAGTTCAAAATGAATGGCTGTATTTTCTTTTATCCAAATTCTCCCAGAAATAAAGATACCCAGTATTCCAATAAGGACATTGAGAGCAAATGTACACTTGTCATCTTCTTAGCAACAGTTAACAAAAGAAAACAAAATAGAAACTAGAACCATGGTCTTTCAACAAGCTTAACCGATTATTTATTGAAATCATATGATATGTCCTCTGCTTTCATCTACGATTAGTGCTTCTGCTGCTACAAAAATTAAAAAATATAATTCTTTAGACACATGGAAACAGACTAAAATAGTATCCTTACTGTAGTGAAAGTTGCATGATACAAAAATCACTGATTTAACACAGCCATTACATCTTTAAATAACAAATGAGCATGTTAAAAAAAATCGTTTTAAAAATAAACCATTTCCCTCCAGCTTCTAGCATGCCAGTAATCCTAACAATAAAATAATAATGAAAAGCAGCAATTTTAAATCAGATTATTATACTTTGGTTTCAAAGATATACATCTCTCATTCACCTTACTTACTGCAGTGGTGAGCTCTTTCCCCAAAGAATATTTGCTGAAAGCTATATTAACTTCATGGGGATACATTTTGGAAAAAGTCAGGCAAATGTTCTGGAAACAAACACTCAGGAATAAAAACAAAACCCATGTGTTAAGGTAAGCTAAGGCAGGGTTTCTTAAGCTCTGACGTGCATACAAATAACCTAGGGATCTTGTTAAAATAAAGACTCTCGTTCACTGGGTCCGGGGTGGGAACATTGGTCTGCATTTCTAACAAGCTCTAGGTAATGCTGAAGCGGAGACCACATTATGAATAGCAAGGAGTGAGAGCGCCCCAGGTAGGAATGAGCAATGCACCAAAGCACTCATTTGCTGATCTCCTCACTTACGGACCAAGGCAACAATTAAGACCTCTCCAAAATGAAGAAAAAGGTGCACTGCATTTTTCGTTCTACTTAAAGCCTTTTTAGGTGTGTAACTCTTTTAGGACATGGGAACACGGAATTAGTGTTGGTGCCCTTCTTTCATGGACAATGAACTTTAAAGACAAGAGACTAGCTTCAGTGAGTGACAGTACACTTTTCTCTGACTTGTACTGTCTTTGGAAATCTTTGGAGTTGGTCTCTGAATTAAGAACAACAGAACACATCTTAAAAGTCCCAAGTCAGATCATTCCCTCCTACCAGAAGCACCCCTGGAAGCACCTGCAGGCCTCAGCCCCACCCAATTTCCTGTGCTGACAAGAAGGGTGACAGCTGATGAAAAACCTGGATGGCCAGAGAGACATGCTCAGCAGTGCCCTTATGGTCTAGAAAGAGTTCTGTTTTACTGACCAAGTTGTTACCAAATGCCTTCTCTGCACAATGTGACATGTGTTTCTTTTCCTGGGTCATCCCACAACTGCTTCCCCACTTTGGGACCTGATCATAAGGCCTCACAGACGAAATCAAACACTGGCTAAGTGATACTGTCATTCAGTATTTACCCTCTACAACAGCAACCAAATCATTTTTAAATCTCAGGAAAAATCTCCACCAAATTATATCCTCAGCATTTCCAATCTCCATTATTTAAATAAAGATGGAAGAAAAAATTAAACCTGTTTGAAACTTTTTTAAAGCTTTTTCTATATAGCTTCTGAATTTTTAGAAGTGTGATCTTGATACTCCCACAGAAGCTGTTTCCATCCTACTGATGCAGACATCTCTAATTCTAATCTCTGAAAATCTCTGGCCCTAGTTTATACCAGCTAGCTGTAGCTAATTACTCTATTATTCCAATTTGTTTGCTTCCTGTCAAATCAGAGTGCTACTTATATGACAGAAGGAAAAATCAAGTAGGTGAGAGTAAAAACAAAGTAAACAAAAAAGACTGTGTCCTTTACCACTGTTCATCTGTGTGGAGGGAAGTTTCTTCTCATTTATCCTCTCATGGTTGGTGGGAAAGGCAGCCATCTCTTTGTCTGCTGATGACACCAGGCTCTCCAAGGTAGGGGCATCTGGGGGAGGATGTGCCAAATACGTCTCTTTGGGCATCTGGACCATGAGGCTGGACAGTGTCTGATCTAGAACATCTTCCTCAGCAATATACGTGTACGGACAGTATTCTCGGGTCCTGGAGTAGATGTTGGCATTGTCATAACAATCTGAGCAAATGACCCGGGTACCAGGACCACCTGATGACGACACAGGAAAGAATCCTTCAGTTAAGGAGTCAGCTTTGCCAATCACCAGTTTTCTGCACCAGCAGCCATCCCCATTTTCACCGCAGCTGGCATTGACTGAGCACTTATTTGATACACCAGGTAAAGTCTCAAGGTCCTTCTGTGCATTAACTAATTTAATCTTCACGGCATCCCTATGAGGTGGGTACTATTATTACCCCCATTTTACAGACGGGGTAACTACAACACAGAGACATGAGGGAACTTGCTCCAAAACACTGCTACAACACAGGGCTGAAATCTAAACTTGGGCACTCTGGCTCCTGAGCCCATGCTCTTGAACGCTACAGTAAACCACTTCTGTCCAGCCTGGATAAGGTGATGCCCAATTCAAGGGAACGAAGATGCAGCTGCACTGTGCTACAAGACACAGGTCTGGCTGAAGCAAACTAAAGCAGAGAACAAGGACTTGGGAGGACTTCACTTCATAAAGCCTGCATTACTTTCATGAGTCGAGGAATTAAGCAACACTCATGGCTTAAAGTACCCCTAGAGAAAGCCTCTGATGGTCAAGAGTCCTGTCTGACACATGTGCGTGTCTGGCAGAGGTAAAGTTTAATAACGAGCTCCCCAGACTGTTATGTGCTTTGAAAACTGTTCAAAGAGAAAAAAGAAAGTGAGAAATAAAGAGCAAGTAACTTCCTGATCAAGCAACAGTGTTACAACTGGAAGTTAGTTTGGCCCAGAAAGCAGTGTTATTTCCCACCAATTTCAAAGAGCAGAGGCATTTAAAGATTCTTTTAAATGCTAGAAGTACCCCTCTTTCCATGGAAAGCCAAAATAAAATCCAATTTAGTGATGAAACCGATAAAATTGTTAACGTTCAGCCTAAAAAAAATCTCCGTATGAACAGAAAAGGCCTTTCATTTGTACAGTGCTGGAAGGACTACACCTATTTGTTGAAAGGATCTGTGAGAATCCTGAGGGAAGCGCTTTATAAAATATCGCTTCTTTACTTTAAAAATGAGAAAGTTAAAGCTCAGATGTCAGTAACTTGTTCATGGTCCGAGAGCCGGAAAAAAGGAACTAGGAATCAAACCCAATTCTTCTATCCCTTAATTCACCTCCCTGAGTTCTGTCGCTCCCTGAGGGAAGGGGGGAGTGGGGAAGAGAAGTAGTACTGAGAAGCCAAGTTAATTAGGGAACATCTTGTATCTCTTTGATTTCTCCAACATATGCTGAGACTCATCACTGCCCTTTGAACTTCAGCAACTATCAACGTGTCAGCAGGAGACACAAACCTCCCCTGAATATGGTCTGAAGAATGCTCATGCTTTAAAAAGATAAGACACCTCAAAAAAGTTTCTAGAGCACCTCCTTCTCATAATAATACTTTGGTTTGGGAGACTTTGCTGGGTATGCCAATCCCTTGTTTTGGGATGTGTTTCTTCTGTCAGATGATTTTCTTCTCTGGTACGATTTCAGTCAATTTCCATCCATCCTATTTCTCATGCAGTCAAATGTTTTCACTGAGTATCTTACTTTAAAATGTTGTGTCAGGTTAATGGGAAAACTATACGCTGACAAACTCAACAAAATAGGTCAAAATTGTAAGCATATACAACAAAGAGTCAGTACCATCAGCGCCTTTGTGTAAATATCCATTGGCAGGAGGCATAAGTTGCTGATGACTGCCTGCCTCAGAGTTGCTGTAGCCTTCCTGCGGCTCTGACAGTGTTCCTTGGGAAGACAAGTAGCTGGGAATGTCTGCAGGCAGATTAAGCTCCTCTGTAAAAGAGACATCTGTAACTTTCAAATAACATTAGGCAACACTCAGAAGACTATAGTGCAAATGACTCCACTTTGATATACCCACTGGCCAGGAAAATGTTATCTAACTAGGAACAGGTCTTAGGATTTTCCCCCAAAACTCTTTCTTGCTAAAATTCTTTTCAAAGATTCATTTTAAAAGTATTACTAAAAGAGGCAAATCCTAAAGTCTAAAATCTAATCCACAGGCGTACTTTCACTGCCTGACTGAGCCTCTTCTCTTTCAGGATTTCGGGGAAGGGGTGTGAAAGGCCGATCCCAGTCAGAAGGGCTCCACTCTTCACCCACAGAGAAGCTTCGATGGAAATGAGGCTTAAGCATTAAAGAAAGAAGGTGCACCTGTAACGTGTTTATAAGAGCAAAGTTTGGGGGAACTGTCTAAAAATTCTTAAAATTATTCATTGGAGGGGTGCCTGGGTGGCTCAGTGGGTTAAGCCTCTGCCTTCAGCTCAGGTCATGATCCCAGGACCCTGGGATTGAGCCCTGCATTGGGCTCTATGCTCAGCAGGGAGCCTCCTTCCCAAACACCCCCCCCCCCCCCCCCCCCCCCCCCCCCCTCCCCCCTTTTGTCTTCTTTCAAAAAAAAAAAAAAAAACTTAAAAAAAAAAAAAAAAAAAATTTCATTGGCGACATTCCATTATTTCAACGAAGTTGGACATTTTAACAAAAAAACTCTTCCTTCTACCATACATAAAGGATCAAAGCACCATAGCTTTTTCTATTTTATAATAAATTGTATACTACATTCCTGACTCAAGTATAAGCTGTAGGTATCAACTGGGTACCACTCACCTGTGTTTGTGATACTGTAGTCTTCATTCTTCCTTCTCATGTGGTAAATAACAATGACCCAGATCAAAGAGGTGCCCACAACACAGCAGACCACAACAATGATGACAATGCCAACTGTGGTCCAGCCATCATCTTCATGCCCAATGCTACTCTGGGAAGAGTCACAATTGGGAGATGAAATGACATTTAGGTAAATGTGACCACGTTCTGTCCCAAGGGTGTTAGACATAATGCAGGTGTATTTCCCAGCATCTTCCAGGCCAGCATCAACAATGATGAGAAGCTGGTTGGCCGCCGCAAAGAAGTGCCGTTCTGTCACCAGCAGTGGCCCGTCATCTTTGGTCCAGTTGAGACGAGGGGCAGGACTCCCTCCAGCTATGCACTGTAATACTGCAGTCTCACCTCGGGTTACTGTCTTATCCTCCAGGGGTCTGATAAATGAGGGTGTCTCTAACAGAAAGATTGTATAAAAAATCATGTTAAACAATTTTAATTTCTTAAATCCTACTGAATTAGATGAATGAGGTAATGATGCAATAAGTAAGCAATTTCAGGGGCGCCTGGGTGGCTCAGTGGGTTAATAAGCAGCCAACTCTTGATTTTAGCTCAGGTCATAATCTATAGATCCTGGGATCAAGCCCTGCGTCGGGCTCCACATTCAGCATGCAGTCTGCTTCAGATTCTCTCTCTCCCTCTCCCTCTCTCACCCCCTAGGATAAATAAATAAATCTTAAAAAAAAAAAAATAATAATAATAAGTAGGGGCATCTGGGTGGCTCAGTGGGTTAATAAAGCTTCTGCCTTCGGCTCAGGTCATGATCCCAGGGTCCTGGGATCGAGCCCCATGTCAGGCTCTCTGCTCGGCGGGGAGCCTGCTTCCCTTCCTCTCTCTCTCTGCCTGCCTCTCTGCCTATTGTGATCTCTATCAAATGAATAAATAAAAAAATCTTAAAAAAAAAAAAGTAAGCACTTTCATATACTCATGGGAAGATTAGAAGTTAGTGTTCAGAAAAGCAAAAGCCTCAAAAATCTTATCTTACTAATTCTACCTTAGGCAAGCTATCCTACGCAAGGAAGTCAAAAAGATTTATACATGAATAGGTTTATCATGAAATTAGTTGTAATTTTTAAAAATAAAGGAAAAGATCTTTAAATCTAACAGGAAAGGTTGTTAAATAAACCACAGTACAAATACATGATATTTTTTGAAGACTTAATGACAGAGTAACCCTTGTGATACAGTATTTGAGAGGAAAAAAGTAGGTACGTAACTTCATGAAAATGTGTTTTTTAAAAAGTCTAGCATATGCCAAAATCTTTAACAGTGTTTCAGTGACTTTCCTTTTTTCTAATTTTCTATATGTCCTAAATTTTTAAAACAATATACTTATTTTTCTGATTTGTGAAATAACACAAACCAACAAACTTTTAAAAAACCTAACATCAGTGATGCCTGGTGGCTCAGCGGGTTAAAGCCTCTGCCTTAGGCTCAGGTCATGATCCCAGGGTCCTGGGATAGAGTCCCGCATCGGGCTCTCTGCTCACCAGGGAGCCTGCTTCCTCCTCTCTCTCTGCCTGCCTCTCTGCCTACTTGTGATCTCTGTCTGTCAAATAAATAAATAAAATCCATTAAAAAAATAAAAAATAAAAAACCTAACATCTAGGGAAAACAGAGAACTAGAAAGCAGAATCTGCCTTTGGGTTGAGTATGAAGAAAAGTATTCTCATAAGAAAAAAAAAAATAGGCTTGTCAGAGGAACTTAGGGAAAAGACATTTTATTTTACCATAACATAGAATCAAGAGGCGTACACTAGAAGGAGAACAGGAAATCTAAACAAAAGATGGTAATTTTTATGCATTAAATTTTTTTTCAAAAATGAATTAGAGGAGAAACAAATTGTCTTGAGTGGTCTGTGAAGCAGTATAAAACAACTGCAAACCCACTGGTGAATACTAGAAAAAACATGTATGAATTAGAAACCTCCAGAGGGCAAGGTAACAGGATACGGGGATTTGAATTTTCAATTCATGTGATGAAGATCTCTAATTCTGCCCTCACTGCTTCTGCAGATTTCAGTTCTCTGATCCACTAATATCCTAGGCTGACATGACCCAGCCATGTATTGGCAAAACACAGTGACCAAGATATAAGGATCACTATTAAAATCTCAAAGTTGGATCTTCTTTATCATTAAGACCAGAGTAGACCCTTAAATATAAAGGCTCCATCCAAACCAAGGACCCATGGGGCAGTACACATACCTAATACTGTGAGAGAGGCATTTGCTGAGAGGCCTCCAGCTATATTTTGTGCCATGCAGCTATAGACTCCCATGTCTTCTATCTTCACGTTGGCAATGAAGAAGACATCATCCTCAGGCATGACATGCATGCGTCTTTCTCGAGCTGCAGGAAAGTCGGTGCCACCATCTTTCTGCCAAGAAATCTGAGGTGCAGGGTGCCCCTCTGCAGCACACTCTAATCTGGCCATGGCACCAGTGCGGATAGTGAGATCCATTGGAGTCTTCAGGAAAGATGGCATCTCTGTTTCAAGAAAGATTACCGAGACAAAGTGGGTGGAGTGGTGGTGGTGGGAACATGAAAACACACACACACACACACACACACACACACACACACACACACAGAGTACCAACTTGTAATATTCTATTTCTTTCAGAAGGCATGCTCTCTGGATTGGCAGAGGCCATCTTTTCTCTTCGAACCTCAGAATACTTAAGAATACAGTGATGAATAAATTCTTCTAGAATGCATGACACATCTAGTACCTGATCTCTCTGATGGGGACAGGAAAGGCAGAAGGCCACAAACCTTTCAGAACTCCGTACATTTATTATGACTCCCTTACTTAAGAGACTAAATGGTGCTCTCCAAGCTAACATCTACAAAGCTGACATGGCAAATGCATGTTAAAAAAGTTTATACCAAAAAATAAAGAATACAAAAAAATGTATGCCTTCAAAAATTTCATAAAACAACACTGAAGTAAGACACAAGTATGTCCTTTGGTTGCACAAAACCTAAACTGTTTTAGTGATTCAATCCAATAGGTGACTGATTAATCAATCTGTTTTGGAGAAGTTCTTTTTTTACAGCCACAGTGAAGAAAAGCATTAATTTAAAAAATGATTCTGTATGACTACATTTAGACCATGATAACAATCACTGCACCCAGAAATGTCCTAAATACTTCGTTATTATAAAGTCCTGTGAACAGTGGCAGGAATACAGTTCAGTTTTCAGAACAGAATTATGGTTCTAGAAAGAACAGAGAATTTCAAAAGAATTTTTTCAAAAGCAGAAACAACAAGAAAAGCAGCCTATCTCCTGGGGGGAGAACTTCCCCCCTCGCTTCCAACCAAGGACCAATTAGGGACATAACTGGACAAAACGGTAACCCAGTCTACGTATTAGCACAACCTTAATTAATACAAAACACTAAAATCTCCCCTCAAATGTCAGGCTTAGCCTCATTTTCTTGTCCAAGTGGTTCAAAAATTGAACATGAAAAATCCTTCTAACTGTAGAACCATCAGGGACCAGAAGTCCTTACCATTCACAGTCAGTTTGGCTTTTTGAGAATAATTAGATCCAAAGTGATTAGTAACGATACACTGATATCTTCCTTCATCTGTGAAATTCACATTGAAAAGATGTAAGACACTCGTATATTCTAGAGCTTCTCCAGCTTGCTGCTGATAACGAACAAAATTCTCAACATCGATGTCATTCAGGATTTCACTGTCTTTGCGCCACACGGTAGACATGGGTGAGTCACTGCTGCTCACTGCGGTGCATGTCAGAGTCACATTCATGCCTCTTAGAGCAACTGTGTTTTCAGGATGCATTTTTATCTGTGGCTTGAGAAAATCATCTAAGAGAAAAAAATGGGGCAGGAGCCAAGTCACTCATTTTTAATTCTACACATTTTGAAACAAATAACATAAAATTACTTGTTCTGTTTACAAAATGGCATATTAAGATTGACAAGAGACTACAGGGCTAGAATCCAATTCCCTTCTGTTCAAAGATGTGGGAAATGAGGCCCAGAGGGTCTAACAACTTGTTCAGAGACAAAGCCTGGATGGGGAACCCAGGTTTTCAGACTTCAGGGTTTAGCATACTTTCTATTATCACTCATGACCACTTACACTTAGAATGTATTTCTTAAGTACTACCAGTTACTAGGAAAAAAGAAAAACCTAAATTCAAATCTCAAGACAAGTTCTAATCCTGTTAGCTCTTGTGAATATGTAGAGGTTACCTATATAAACATATATATGATAAGACCCATTATCTTTTCCTTGTCAATAAAGAAAATGGGGATTACAAATTACATGTTACAGTGTGTACCTATTAATAAAACATTATTTGTGAGCACGTGGATGGCTCAGCTGGTTAAGTGTCTGACTCTTGGTTTCAGCTCAGGTCATGATCCCGGGGTCCTGAGATCAGGCCCCACATTAAGAGCTACACTCATAACGGAGTCTGCCTGTCTCTCTCCCTCTGCTCCTTCCCCTACACACTCTCTCTGAATAAAATCTTTTTTAAAAAAATTAAGCATTATTGGAACATACATCATATATGCATAACTCTCCCTTCAAATAGTGAGAAATTCCAAATAGGCTTAGGAATGGCTAATATATTACAGATTCATAAATAATAGTATATTGTTAATATGTAAAAAACAACAGAAGTATTTTGTGGGCCTGAGCTTCCAAGTGTTCTAAGTATCTTTTAAGTAGATTATAAAAATAGATCTGGCAATATATGGGTATCTAAATAATCAGATACTAGTGACATGCAAGACAACTACGCTGATGTAAAATTTCTAGTGCCTAAAGCTAGGAATCAGTTATTCTACTTTAACGGAAATTTAAGGAGCACCTGGGTGGCTCAGTGGGTTAAAGCCTCTGCCTTCAGCTCGGGTCATGATCTCAGGGTCCTGGGATCGAGCCCTGCATCAGGATCTCTGCTCAGCGGGGAGCCTGCTTCCTCCTCCCTCTCTCTCTCTCTGCCTGACTCTCTGCCTACTTGTGATCCATGTCTGTCAAATAAATAAATAAAATCTTTTAAAAAAAATAATAAAATAAAATAAGGGAAATTCAAGTGTAAAGGAAAAATGCCCAAGTTGAGAAAGAACAATATAGATACATACTTCAAATTATGAGTACTGGAATCATGACAACTTTTTTTTTTTTTTTTTTAAGATTTTATTTATTTATTTGACAGAGATCACAAGTAGTCAGAGAGGCAGGCAGGGGCGGGGGAAGCAGGCTCTCTGCCAAGCAGAGAGCCCGGTGCAGGGCTCGATCCCAGGACCCTGAGATCATGACCAGAGCCGAAGGCAGAGGCTTTAACCCACTGAACCACCCAGGCGCCTCTGGAATCATGACAACTTTTACATGGTTGTCCTTCTTCCCCCCAAAAAACTCTAAAACCCTGCCACCACTTTAGTCTTAAGAAACTGCATCAAAAAATAGAAACAATGTGAAACTACATTCACACATTGCTGGTGACAACATAAACAAGTGCTCTCTTTCTGGAAAACGGCTGGTAGTACTTTTTAAGATCTACTTTAAAAAAAATCATTTTTGATTCAGGAATCTTACCTACTGGATATTTATATTAAAGGTTAACAACCTGGGGCACCTGGGTGGCTCAGTGGGTTAAAGCCTCTGCCTTCGGCTCACGTCATGATCCCGGGGTCCTGGGATCGAACCCCGCATCAGGCTCTCTGTTCAGCAGGGAGCCTGCTTCCCCCTACCCGTGCCTGCCTCTCTGCCTACTTGTGATCTCTGTCAAATAAATAAATAAAATCTTAAAAAAAATAAAAAATAAAGATTAACAACCCCCTAAAAGGGAAAGGCCTACATTCATAAAGATGCTGTTATACTATACTGACACTGAAAATGATCACTGAAGAACACACAGGAAAAAACTTGCTTATGATATATTAAGTCAAAGAATACAAAATTAAATCTACGATTACAAAATATAAAAATTTCACAGAAGAACACAGAGAAATGGAAATAGATATGCTAGTTAGAAAGCATTCTGGTTGGGGTGCCTGGGTGACTCAGTTGTTTGGGCGTCTGCCTTCAGCTCAGGGCATGACCCCAGGGTCCCAGAATTGAGCCCCGAATTGGGTTCCCGGCTCAGCGGAGAGCCCACTTCTCTCCCGCTATCTGCCGCTCTGCCAACTTGTGCTCTGTCAAGTAAGTAAATAAATAAAATAAAAAAATAAAAACTTTAAAAAAGTGAAAGCATCCTGGCTTAATTTTTTTCCATTCTGTTGTTAAGACAATTAAGTGTATAACATGCATCTTTTCTGACCACAATGCTATGAAACTAGGAATCAACCACAAGGGGCTCATGGGTGGCTCAGTCATTAAGTTAAGCGTCTGCCTCAGCTCAGATCATGATCCCAGGGTCCTGGGATCAAGCCCCACACTGGGCTCCCTGCTCTGTGGGATGCTGGCTTCTCCCTCTATACCACTCCCCGGACTTGTGTTCCTTCTCTTCTTGTCTCTCTCTCTCTCTCTCTGTCTCTAATAAATAAATAAATAAATCTTTTTTTTAAAAAGAGAAAGAAAGAAAAAGAAAAAAAAGAAAGAAATCAACCACAATAAAAAATATAGAAAAGAGCACAATATATGGAGGTTAAATAACATGTTATTATACCACTGAATGGGATGGGTAGCCTGGCTGGCTTAGTTGATAGAGTGAGCATGTGGCTCTTGATCTCAGAGTTCTAAGTTCAAGCCCATGTTAGGTATAGAGATTACCTAAAAATATTTTTTTTTTTGTTTTTAAGATTAGATTTATTTATTTATTTGAGAGAAGAGAGTACATGGCAGGGCAGGGGTGTGGGACAGAGAAAGAGAGAGAGAATCTTTAAGCAGACTCTGCAGAGAGTAAAGCCTGATGTGGAACTTGATGCCATGACTCTGAGATCATGACCTGAGCTGAAACCAAGAGTCAGACACCTAACCAACTGCGACATCCAGATGCGCCCCCAAAATAAATCTTTTAAAAAATAAACAAATAAAACAATGAATGTGGGGGGTGCCTGGGTGGCTCAGTGGGTTAAAACCTCTGCCTCAGGTCATGATCCCAGGGTCCTGGGATCGAGCCCCGCGTCGGGCTGTCTGCTCAGCAGGGAGCCTGCTTCCTCCTCTCTCTCTGTCCTGCTTCTCTGCCTACTTGTGATCTCTATCAAATAAATAAATAAAATCTTTAAAAAAAAACAAAACAAAACAATGAATGGGTCAACCAAGAAATCAAAGAAGAAATAAAGAATTACATGAAAACAGAGTCCATAATCTGTGGGATACAACAAAAGTAGTTCTAAGAGGGAAGTTTACAACAATATAGACTTACCTCAAGAAGCAAGAAAAACCTTTAATAAACAACCTAATCTTACACCTAAAGAAGCTAGAAAAAGAAAACCCAAACCCAGCAAAAGACAGGAAATAATAAATATAAGAGCAAAAATAAATGACATAGAAACTAAAAAAAACAACAGATCAATGAAACTAGGAGCTGGTTCTCTGAAAAGATCAAGAAAAAATTGATAAACCTCTAGGCAAGATTCACTTAAAAAGAGAGAGAGAGATGTCTGTTCATGTCTTCTGCCCTTTTCTTGATTGGATTATTTGTTCTTTGGGTGTTGAGTTTGCTTCTGCAAAGAAGACATCCAGATGGCCAACAGACACATGAAAAAGTGCTCCATATCACTTGGCATCAGGGAAATACAAATCAAAACCACAATGAGATATCACCTCACACCAGTCAGAATGGCTAAAATTAACAAGTCAGGAAATGACAGTTGCTGGCGAGGATGCGGAGAAAGGGGAACCCTCCTACACTGTTGGTGGGAATGCAAGCTGGTGCAACCACTCTGGAAAACAGCATGGAGGTTCCTCAAAATGTTGAAAATAGAACTACCCTATGACCCAGCAATCGCACTGCTGGGTATTTACCCTAAAGATACAAATGTAGTGATCCGAAGGGGCACCTGCACCCGAATGTTTATAGCAGCAATGTCTACAATAGCCAAACTATGGAAAGAACCTAGATGTCCATCAACAGACGAATGGATAAAGAAGATGTGGTATATATACACAATGGAATACTATGCAGCCATCAAAAGAAATGAAATCTTGCCATTTGTGACAACGTGGATGGAACTAGAGGGTATCATGCTTAGCGAAATAAGTCAATCGGAGAAAGACAACTATCATATGATCTCCCTGATAGGAGGGAGAGGAGATGCAACATGGGGGGTTAAGGGGGTAGGAGAAGAGTAAATAAAACAAGATGGGATTGGGAGGGAGACAAACCATAAGTGACTCTTAATCTCACAAAACAAACTGAGGGTTGATGGGGGGAGGGGGGTTGGGAGGGGGGGGTTATGGACATTGCGGAGGGTATGTGCTATGGTGAGTGCTGTGAAGTGTGTAAACCTGGTGATTCACAGACCTGTACCCCTGGGGATAAAAATATATGTTTATTTAACAAAAAAAAGAGAGAGAGAGAGAAAGAGAGAAAGGACCCAAATAAATAAGATTACTAATGAAAGAAGAGAAATAACAACCAACACCATAGAAATATAAATAATTTTAACAGAATATAATGAAAACCTAAATATCAACAAATTCAACAACTTAGAAGAAATAGGTAAATTTCTAGGAAATATAACCCCCCAAAACTAATGTAGGAAGAAATTTTAAAAAAAAGCTTGAACAGACCAATTACCAGCAATGAAATTGAATCAATAATCAAAAAATTCTCAAAAAACACCAGTCCAGGACCAGATGAATTCATAGTTGAATTCTACCAAACATTTAAAGAAGAATTAATACCCATTCTTCTCAAACTATTCCAAAGAACACAAGAGGAAGGAAACTTCCAAATTCATTCTACAAAGCCAATATTACCCCAATACCAAAACCAGATAAAGACATTACAAAAAAAGAGAACAGACCAATATCTCTTATGAATATAGATGCAAAATCCTCAATAAAATATTACCAAACCAAATCCAATAAAATATTTTTTAAAATCATATACTGCAATCAACAGGGATTTATTCCTATAATGCAAGGATGGTTTAATATGCACAAAACATCACATCAGTAAGAGAAAGGGTAACAACCATATGATCATTTCAACAGATGCAGAAAAAGCATCTGACAAAAGTACAACATCCACTCATGATAAAAACCCTCTACCAAGTAGGTCTAAAGGGAACATATCTCAACATACTAAAGGTCTTAGATGAAAAACCCACAGCCAACATCATACTCAATGGTGAAAAACTGAGAGCTTTTCCCCTAAGGTCAAGAACAAGACAAGATGTCCACTCTCAACATTGTTATTCAACAGAGTACTAGAAGTCCTAGCCACAGCAACCAGACAACATAAAGAAATAAAAAGCATCTGAATCAGTAAGGAAGAAGTAAAACTTCCACTATTTGCAGATGACATGATATTATATATAGAAAACCTTAAGACTCTACCAAAAAAATACTCACTAGAACTGATAAATTCGGTAAGGTTGCAAAACACAAAATCAATGTACAGATATCTGTTGCATTCCTATACACTAATAATGAAGCAGCAGAAAGTGAAATTAAAAAAACAATCCCAGGGGCGCCTGGGTGGCTCAGTGGATTAAAGCCTCTGCCTTCGGCTCAGGTCATGGTCCCAGGGTCCTGGGATCGAGCCCCGTATCAGGCTCTCTGCTCGGCAGGGAGCCTGCTTCCTCCTCTCTCTCTCTCTGCCTGCCTCTCTGCCTACTTGTGATCTCTATCTGTCAAAATAAATAAAATCTTTAAAAAAAAAAAAACAATCCCATTCACAATTAAACCAATACCAATAAAATGTCTAGGAATAAATTTAACCAAAGAGGTGAAAGCCCTGTACTCTAAAAACTATAGAACACTGATGAAAGAAGTTAAAGATGATGCAAAGAAATGGAAAGACATTCCACATTCATGGATTAGAAGGCAAATACTGTTAAAATGTTTGCCCTACCCTAAGCAATCTACACATTTAATGCAATCCCTATCAAAATATCAACAGCATTCTCAAAGAACTAGAACAATCCTAAAATCTGTATGGAACCACAAAAGACCTCGAGTAGGCAAAACCATCGTGACACAGAAAAACAAACTGGAGATACCACAATTCCAGATTGCAAGTTATACTATAAAGTGACAGTAATTAATATGGCATAAAAACAGACACACAGATCAACGGAATAGAACAGAAAACCCCAAAATAAGCCCACGACTATATGGTCAATTCATCTTCAACAAAGAGGAATGAATATACAATGGGAAAAAGTTGCTTCAACAAACGGTGCTGGGAATACTGGTCAGCTACATGTGAAAGAATGAAACTGGACCACTTTCTTTCACCATACACAAACATCAACTCAGAATGGATTAAACACCTAAATGTGAGACCTGAAACCATAAAAATCCTAGAAGAGAACACAGGCAGCAACTTCTCTGACCTAAGCAGTAGCCAACATTTTCCTAGATTTGTTTCTAGAGAAACAAAAGCAAAAATAAACTATTGGGACTATACCAATATAAAAAATTTCTGCACAGGGGCACCTGGGTGACTCAGTCTGTTAAGCATCTGCCTTCAGCTCAGTCATGACCTCAGGGTCCTGGGATCAAGTCCTGCAGCAGGCTCCTTGCTCCATGGGAAGCCTGCTTCTCCCTCTCCCTCTGCCTGCCACTCCCTCTGCTTGTGTGCGTGTTCTCGTTCTCTAATAAATAAAATAAAATCTAAGCAAAAGAAAAAATTCTGCACAGCAAAGGAAACAAGCAACAAAACTAAAAGGCAACCTACTGAATGGGAGAAGATGTTTGCAAATGACATATCCAATAAAGGGTTAATATCCAAAATATATAAAGAACTGATACAACACAATACCCCAAACCAAATAATCCAATTTAAAAATGGGCAGGGGTGCCTGGGTGGCACAGTCAGTTGAGCATCTGATGTGGTTTCGGCTCAAGCCATGATCTGAGGGTCATGAGATCTAGCCCCGCACTGGGCTGCATGCTCAGTGCAGAGTCTACTTGAGATTCTCTCTCCCTCTGCCCCTCCCACTCATGTACTCTCTCTAAAGTAAATAAATAAATCCTTAGAAAAAAATAGGCAGAAGACACAAACAGACATTTCTCCAAAAAGACAGACAGATGGCCAACAGACACATGAAAAGATGCTCAAGAGCACTCATCATCAGGGAAATGCAAATCATAACCTCAATGAGATATCACCCCTACATGTGTCAGAATGGCTAAAATCAAAAACATAGTAAACAACAAGTGTTGGAAAGGATGTGGACAAAAGGGAACCCTCCTACATTGTTGGTGGGAATGCAAACTGATGCAGCCACTACAGAAAAAAACAGTATGGAGGGTCCTCAAGAAATTAAAAATAGAACTACCCTACAACCCAGGAGCCACACTACCCAAAGAATACAAAAACATGAACTGAAAGAGATACACGGACCCCTGTGTTTTTTATTTATAGATTTATAGATGAATGGATAAAGATGTGGTCTATACATACAATGGAATATTACTTGGCCATAAAAAAGAAAGAAAAGTTACCATCTGCAGTGACACGAATGGAGCTAGAGAGTATAAACTAAGTGAAATAAGTCAGACAGCAAAAGACAAGTATCACAAGATTTCACTGATATGCAGAATTTCAGAAACAAAACAACAAGCAAAGGGAAAAATAAAGAGAGACAAACCAAGAAATGACTCTTAGCCATAAAGAACAAACTGATGGTTACCAGGGGTGGGGGGTGGTCAGAAGAGATGGAGATTAAAGAGTACACTTATCATGATGAAAAAAACAGTAATAATAAAATAAATAACAAATAATTAATAATAAAATAAAAAGACAGCATGTTTTAAAAAGACAGCATGTAGTATAAAAAATTTTAAAGCAAAATACAAACCACAGACAAAGTCTTTCAGGTCCACGTTCAGGATGCTCTGCCCTGCTAGCCACTCAGGGTGTGCACAGCTTACGTTCACAGAATGCTGGAAGTTATTATTGACCAGCCACTGAAGCAACCACTTCAAATGGCAGTCACAGAGTAAACTGCTTGTGTTCAGAATCCTGCAGAAGCCAAGAAGAAAAGAAAGACCCTTTACTTTTCATTCTGTTTCTTCACCATTAAAAGCTTACTGCACACCCATGCATTCTTCTCTCCAAAAAGTGCTCAATCTGAATCAAACCACAAGAACACAAATTCAGACCGTCAGCCTCAATTCCTCAAATACATCAGTGTCATCCAAGACATTAAGAAAAGGGGCAAAACAACAGTAAGAGACCTATTTTAGATTAAAGGAGACCAAAGGCTCATCACCAAATGCAGTGCATGATTCTAGACTGGAAGAAATATCTACAAGGAACATTTTTTGGCACTGGGGAAATGAGTATGGACTCCATATCAGTTACTATTACTTTATCAAAGTTAATTTAATTGAATGAGATAATAGTGCTGTGGCTATATGTAGGAAAACATTGTTGTTCTTGGGACATACATGCTGAGATATTTAGGGGTCAAGTGTCATGATGCCTGCAACTTACTATCAAATGGCTAAGCAAAGTAGTCGTGTGTGTGGAGAGGAGAGAGGGATAGAAAGAGATGGAAGAAGGAAAGAGAGATGGGAGGAGGAAGGGAGAGAAACATCACAAATTTAGCAAAAAGTTAACAAGCAGTAAATCTAGGTAAAGGGAATATGGATGTTAACTGTACCTTCCTTTCAGTTTTTGAGGTTTAAGATTTTTCCCAGAAAAGTGTAGGGGAAAGCTTACCATATACATTGCAGCACAAAGACAGGTTTGTTGTGGAGAAGATATTTTCCAAAAGAATATTCCACAATAATTCCACAAGGATTATTTTCAAATTATTTCATTAAGACTAAAAACATTGGGACGCCTTGGTGACTCAGTGGGTTAAGCGTCTGCCTTCAGCTCAGGTCGTGATCCCAGGGTGCTGGGATGGAGTCCCACATCGGGCTCCCTGCTCAGTGGGGAGTCTGCTTCTCCCTCTGTCTGCTGCTCCCCCTGCTTGTGCTCTCCCTCTCTCTCTCTGACAAATAAATCTTAAAAAAAAAGAAAAGACTGAAAACATTTCATCCCTGTGGCAATGTGTACTGCAACTTAAACTAGGAAACAGTGAAATTTTATTTGTTGTCTATGATAGGGCTATAAAACATAATCAGAAAAATAAGATCGGTTTTCTCTTAATGACCCCATGAATGTCCCATCCACCTGGAAGTAGTGAGAGCAAATGATTTGGAGAAGACTGTGACTTGTTTTATGTGCATCACCCAAATCCTCATTTAGTCTTAAAGTATCTAAGATGTGATTCCGAAGACGTTTCAATCAGTCTTCAATGGTATCTCAAAAACCTTACTTGACTAAGGGTTATTTTAATTAATCGGGCCAGAAGTTACCTTTTGCATTTCAGAGTTCTTCATTATGTTCATTCACTGATAGACAAACATTTGAGTCTCCTCTATGCGAGGGACTGTTCTAGGCCGTGTAGATACAGGACTCACAGAACTTACATATTCATTAGAGACAAGCAGTGAACAAATAAAGGCAAAGCACAATGTCAGAAAGGTAGTGCTGTCAAGAAAAACAAAGCTAGGCAAAGGTAAAGAGAGGGCAGCTACTAATTTAGATCAAGCAGTCAGGGAAAAATACTTTGAAGAGATGGCATTTAGGCAAAGACCTGAAAGAAGCAAGAGAGCAAATCCCACAAAGACCTGAGGGGAGAGTGTCGCACACATAGGAAACTGTATGCAAAGACCTTGAGGCAGACAGGTCCAGTGCTCGGGAGGAAAGGCAAGGCCACTGAGGCTAGAGCACAGTGAGGGAGGGGGCAGTGACAAGGACAAGGTCAGGGAGCTGGGCAGGGAAGACCAGGCCATGCAGGTGCTTTGCAAACTAAGAAAAGAATTTGAGGTATTTTCTTCCTATGTGTTGTACAGGTAGCCACTGGAAGGTTAAAAACAGAAGAGTGACATGGTCTGATTTATGCTTTCTTGGGTATAAGCTGGACTCATGAGACCTGGACTTACTCCTATTCTGCTACTTACCTTGGGCAAAATACTTAAGGTCTCTAAAATCTCAGTTTCTATTTCTGGAAAATGGGTTAGAGAATGTCTACCTCAAAAAAAATTTTAAATAAAGCATTTAGCACAATGTCTGTACACAGATGCCACTGAATTCACATTACTTCCCTTTAGTTATGTTTCTTTTGCATCTTTCCAGCCTCAGTGCTAACCAACCTGCCCCCAAGGACCTCACAGAATAGTCTGCATTCTCTCAAAAAGTGTGTGGACAAATATACACCGAAATATTAAGAGTGATTGTTTCAAGAGTAGTGGGGATCTAGGGACTTACTCTCCTTCTTGCTTTAACTATATGTTTTCTACTGTTTCTACCATGATTATGTAAGTTTAATGCAAAATATTTTTTAATTTACATATGACTTTCCCATCTCCCCCTAATATTTATGCAAAGCACTGTAAAGGATACCAGAAAGCACAAGGATACATTTTAGTAAATCTTGATGTAACAGTATTGTAAATATGACTTAAAGTAAACCAAAAGCAACCAAAATTTCTCAGTAAAAAAGGTATGTTACAGTTTCCTCCGTTAGCAGTTTGTTCAAACCAATTCTCAAATTACCAAATGACTAAAGACTGAAACTACATGATCTGTTTTCACCTACTACCTAAATTACATTTTACACTTAGCTCTCATTAACAAGAGTTAAAACCTTATGGTGACCATCAGATTACCATGGACAAAAAATGGGTAATACTGAAATGCACTAAGGTGTGCCCTTAAAAGTTAAACTGAGGGTTGCTGGAGGGGAGGGGGATGGGGGTTGGGCATTAAGGACAACACATAATATAATGAGTAATAGGTATAAGACTGATGAATCACTGATCTCTACCTCTGAAACCAATAATACATTGTTATATGTTAATGAGTTGAATTTAAATTTTTTAAAGAAGAAAAAAAAAAGTTAAGCCTAGGAGAAATAAATCAAAATATGCTGACCAGAAAAAAAAAGGCACTTAAAAGTCTGGCAGAAAATAACTAATAATGATTCCCATAACATTTTTATTTTATTAGTATTAGTTATTCAACTTTCAGTATGTGCCAGCCTCTGTGCTTAGCACCTTCTCAAAACCTTCTAAAGTTTCCTAATGAATTTAGAGGAAAAAAAAATCCAAAGTCCTCATGACTCATTAGGCCCTGGGTAGTCTGGTTCCTGATTAACTCTCTGACCTCACCTCCTACCCCCCTCTTCTTCCTCTTGCTCTCTTCCAGCTACACTGTTGTCTTTGCTGTTCTTCAAGCATAAAATGCAAGCTCCTACCTCAGGGCCTTTTCATTTGCTTTTTTCTGCCTGGAATGCTCTTCACCCAGTATTCAAGGCTTTGCCACTAAGGTCCTTACTCAAATGTTATTATCTACCCCCAAACCCCCCCCCCCAAAAAGGCCTTCCTTCACTACTTTATCCAAAATCCTGGTCACTCTCCATACCTGTGACCCACCTTTACTTTCCTTCAGAACTCTTATTACCTGATGAGACACTATGTACCTACTGACTTATTCTTTGATTCCCTTACTAGAATTCATTGTAATACGCTATGAGGACAGAGATTTTTGTCTTGTTCACTCCTGTGTTTTTAGCATCTAGGACAGTACACCTTACATAGCAGACGACAATAAATATTTCTTGAATAAACAAATCATCTAATTTATCCTTACATAAACTCTGAGGGAGGTATGTACAACTTCCATTTTGAGAAGGGAAATTGAGTCTTAGGCTAAATTTTCCCAATGTCACACAGGTGTAAAGAATGAAGCAGAAATCTGAAATCAAGGGAGTTTGACTTCACACACTTCAGTGCATCTCAAACTACCTGTGATGAAGGACCAGTTTTATAAATTTCCAATCTGTTGTAGATTAATACTGTAATATTCAACAAAAGTGTCAGAGTAATGTCAAATTGTTTAAAAGTTTCTAAACACTATGAATTTCTATCTTTATCTCTTCGTGGACCACTTCTGGTCCACAGTCCTTCTTTTGAGTGGTTTTGAAGCAAGGCCACTGATTCTTAACACTGGCTCAACAATCAAGTCACCAGAGTTTAAAATTAATAAAATTAATACTAGTGCCCAACTAACCACCCTCTCCACCCCCCGGGGAAATCTCTAAATCAGTAAGAGCAATTTCTTAAAAATCATAAATTAAAAAGGATATGAAGTAATATGTGTTCTTCTATCACAACTATTTTGAATAGTGTTTGACCATTTTAGTAACTTGGAAAAACAGATTAGAGACATTCCTTCTGACAATACTGAATGTGCTAAATTATCTCTAACAAATTACCTAATACCTTAACTGTAATCCACCCTAAGGTTCCCACCTAAGGATACTAGGAACACATTTTTCCAATAATCCAAAAATAAACAGGGGAAGAAAAGGAACAGGAAGATATACCTAAAGCACAAGGAGCCATGCTAAGGTCTTTTTAACTAAAAGCACATGAAAACAGTTTGGTGCCATAAATTCTAGGCTTTTCGATCTTGGGTTATTTTAAAATTATATCCAGTCACTAAAATAACTGAATATTAACTTTTTTTTTTCCTGCCTAAATTGTGTGTTTTTGGAAATACATGGGTCACATTCATCTCACTTTTAAGAGCAAAAGTATGGATAATGATCTAATGATCGGTGACAAAAAAACTTGTTACGTACAGTTCTTTCAAGCGAGTCTGAGAAAAAGCATTTTCTTGGATAGACATTATAGCATTGTTGTTCAAATCTCTGAAATGAAGAGAAATAAAATATTACCGGTCACCATTTCTACAATGAAATTATATAAACACTTTAAGTGGTCATAAGAACCTCTGCTAATAGCAAAGATTATTTATATACTGAGCAAAATGGATGCAAAATACTTACAAATGCTCAAGGGATTCAAGACCAATGAATGCTTTCTTTGTAATTGACTTAATTTGATTTCCTTGTAAGATTCTGAAATACAAACAGACCTTTCTAGTAAAGTTCTCCACTAAGCAAAATTTAATTCATTAAATCAAACATTTACCTATAAAAAGTGAAAATAAGCTTAACATGCATTTTTAAGAAAGTTGTGAACCTTTATCACCAACTAATGCAAAGCACAGAATGAAGGCCTCTATTAAGAGGTTGGAGCTCAACGAGGTGCTGTGAACAGCGGTGAGGACCGGTGATGCCCTGCTAAATTTCATGTGAGAAACTGGATTAGAGTCCCAATCTCTCCCTTCTTGGCAAAAGATCAGGTCAAAGAAATTCAAACAAGTGTGAAGCTTTGGAGAAATTCTCAGGAGAGAAGATCTAAAATCTTACTTGAGAGAATTCCTCTCTTTCTAGATAAATTACCCATAAATTTCATATGAGTAAAAAGAATACTGCTTCAACTCTGGTTTCTCAGTGCATTTCTTTTATGTGACTCGTTAAGTCTACTTCTATGAATAACCTCTTTGAGTGCCCATTGGACAGCTTTTCTCAATAGAAATGTCCCAATACTAACTAAATAAATAAAACTTAAAGCCACCAATAAACAAAAAACTTAGTAAACAAAAAGGTTCTTCCTTTAGTGGGTGAGTCAAAAGGCTGACTTTCCAGCCACAGCAAAAAGACATAATGCAATCACACATACAACTGGTTCTTGAAAATACACCTTTATAGGCATACATAAATATTATAAATACATACAATTTAGTGAGACTTGTGAGTCCAGCAAAAGCTTCACTAGCATCTTCTATGGCCCATGAAATTTCATTGTTCCTTAAGTTTCTAAAAAAAATATCAAGGACAGGTTATGTTAGTTCACATGGACATGACAACGCTGGGCATCATCCTGGCACGGCAATACTAATTTTCATCCTTATTTTAACAGTTACTTATGAAGATGACTCGACTCTTTTTTTAGAGAATATCTGCAATAAGCATATAAGAACCGATTCTCATAAGCAAAGGGTTAAGCTGGCCTTGATAAATAAAGCAACCTGCTAAGAGAATTAATCTTACTATCTAATAGCCCCTAATTTTGTTAGCATATTAAAAATTATAGTCAGGGTCCTGCAAAAAGCAGGATTTCAGGACGCAGGGGATATGGCTTCCAAATGTGATTTTAGACTAATGGGATTTCTGGGTGACCCAAGTCTTCCCGTGGGCTCTTAAACGTAAAATGGCTAACAAAGAACAATGTCAGTATAAAGCTTCACAGCTCAACAGCAATTAAACATGCCCCCCTGGGAGGCAAGACTGATACACCCTTGCACTAGAGTGATCACTCTGTTATTTTTAAAAGGAAAAGTATGGATCTTTTAAAATCCACCGCTGCATTCTCAGAGGAAATGCAATTGCATCATGCGGTGTCCTGCTGGAAGAAGTATCAGTTAAAGATTTTTTTTTTTTTAATTTGACAGAAATGACAAGTAGGCAGAGAGGCAGGCAGAGAGAGAGAGGAGGAAGCAGGCTCCCGGCTGAGCAGAGAGCCAGATGCGGGGCTCGATCCCAGGACCCTGAGACCACGACCCGAGCCGAAGGCAGAGGCTTAACCCACTGACCCACCCACACGCCCCTCAGTTAAAGATATTTAATCACTGTTGCTTCCTTAAGTCA